TATATCTCTAACAATCGTCCATCTTCTGTGGCCCCATGAGAAGACACTAGGAGTTTCTAGGGTATTTGTTGTTGTTTTTTCATTTTTAGTTTCAATGTAAGTTTGATAAAAGAATCAAGTAAACAGCATAAGATCTTTAGTTACTTGCTGATACTTAACTGACATAAGTGCTCTGATTTAAACCTTCAATGTTATAAAGCCCATTGTCAGATCAAGCTGGCAAGAGTAACCTCTTACGTGATTTTAAAATGGAGAGAGAAGGCAACTGTGGCTAGTAATTAAGTTACACCTATAAAATAAAGATGCTATCAATGATATATTTTTAAGTAAAAGCTTCCAGCTGCTGCCTTCTGATATGTCATTTCAGGTATTGATCATACAGCCTGTACTTCTTTTCTCTGAAGTGTAAGGGCGAAGGTTGCACTTGTGAGACGTGAAACGAGCCAGAGAAGTAAATGCACTGAGAGGGCATTCAAGGTTGCCAAGACATGTGGTGGTACAATCAAGCCGGTCAATGAAAGCAATGCACGTACTAGTAGTATTTACCGAAAAGTGGACTGTGTATCCTAATTAAGGGAGTACGTATTTATTAAGTAAAACCAGCGAACAGTTTATATACATTTGCGTTGCTAGATATGTAGTCCCTTTTGGAAACTCTAGAAAGACTTATATTTACGATCGAAGGGAGTAGAATCCTTTGAGCTGACTGCTGTACATGCTGAGGCATTCAAGGTGCTAAAGTCATCCAAAGCTGATGCATGACAATAACTGTACATGCAACGTATATACAATAGCACAACAAGAAGATAATATTTATATTTAGCTAACTAACTTTGCAAAATTTTCAATGCATAGAGTGAGTACCATACTGAATAAAATTTGGCTATGTTAGTTGTGGAGTTTGTTTTTCAATATATATATATATATATATATATATATATATATATATATATATATATATATATATATATATATATATATTGTAACGAGGCAAAATATTTGCCATTTTCATTGATTGAGGAGAAGAGGGTTATCTAGTTAATTAGAGAAAAAAATGGACGAAGACCTAGATTACAAACCCCGCAAAGGGCACCCGCGGAAGTCCTGGCCACTAACAAGACCATGACACAACCAACAAAACAACCGGATCATCAACGCCAAACGAGAGCGTCATCGGCATCATCAATCCCACCTGATCGGAGGACTTCGATTTTCCCTTGGACAAGCACAAACTTACCAACCGCCAAGAGGTTGCACCAAAAAAAAAGTATCGCCAAATAGTCGACCGAAATTTTGAGGACATGGCAGCTCCAATATTGCTGAAGAGTGAAAAAACATGGTGCCCTCATACTCTACTGAGTGCCGCATCCGTAGATTTCATGATGCTCTGCACATGAAGTATCAGCGGTTTTTGTTTATTTTCGAATGAGTGAAAAATCTTGGTCCCGGTTCAAATCAATGCATGCGTTGTGTTACCATTTTGTTGTTTTCAAATGATTTTTTTATGAGAAGTTTTGCGAGATCATGTAAAACGTGAGAAAAGGAAATCTTGCTAAAAAAACAACGTGACCCTTAAGTTCCAAAGTTTTAAAAAACAAGGTTAAAGGGGGAAGTTCCCTCCCTTAACTTTTGTTGTTAGGATGGGGAGATGTGAACCCAGGTGGCTTAAGAGGAAATATGACACAGTCGCCATTGCACTAGGAGGCTCTTCCCAAGTTCTGAAGTTTTTAGCCTATGTGACCACATCTCTTAAGTTATCAAAAAAAAGTTAGTTAGGGCAGTAGAGACCTTGAAGTCAAGGTTTGAGAAAACCTTTGCATTACATGCATCCTAGATTTTCCGCAATATGAGAAGAATGATGAACAAGGCAGCAAAAGAGTATTCCGCAACCATAAAACTGCTAATCTCGATGCGATATCTCGGGCTTTCGATGTCGATGAAAAGATTGAAGATTGAAGCGCATTCATTTCGAGCATCTGGAGGACAAAGCTGCAGGCAAGCATGCGGCTAGGTGTGGCAAACATGTGGCCATATCGTTCTTGTCATGATTGTGCCGACTGCCACTGTGATTTATCATCTAACACTGCTTGACGTGCTAGTTGAGGTTAAAAAGAAGATTAATAAGTTGAGATGAGCTTGTCTTTGGGCGAGATGTGATAAGGTGACTAGAGACAAGTGCAAAGTTAATTGAGAGCTGGTTTGTAAGCCCAAATCTTGTGGTGTTACGGGTGTTCTTAATTTGGACAAGTTCACCACTATATTTCGTGCCACATGGCTTTGGTATGAATGGGCGGACCCCCAAAGACTTGGCTTGGTCTTGGATCTTCATGTAATGATAATGATCATGACATCTTTGTGGTGTCCACCAAGGTAACCGTTGGAGACAGCAACAAGGATTCTCCTTGGCTTGAGGACATTAGACCGAGAGACATCACCCCCAAGATCTTCGGGTTCTCTCACAAGAAGAGTTGCACAGTTAGCAAGGCTCTACTGGATAACTCATGGGTCCATGAAATTGACACCTACCTTAACGTTTCCTTGGAACACATTCAGAAGTTGGGCTCCCTCTAGGAGAAGAATGCTAATATTCACATCCCCAAAGAAATTCAGGACATAATCACTTTGGAATTCACTTCAATGGGGGCTATTCTGTGTCCTTGGCGTACATGGTGCAATTTGTTGGGCTGACCTCCATGGCACTGTCCCTAAGGTTGGCGGGTTTGGGCTCCCCCAAATGCAAGTTCTTTGCCTAGCTTGTCATAAAAGATCGCATGTGTTTTTATTTTTCAAAAAGAAGGAATACCCCTGGCCTCTGCATCGAGCGATGCACACAACTATTTTATTACATTATTTCACATAACCCAACAAAACAAATACATGGATCAATCCAAAGTCACCTTCCCGGCAATTACTCCCACTACACCTACAATCTTGATGGCCTGTCGTGACCGTGCATCAATACACAACATTTATTCGGGTTGCCTCATCAAGCCGTCCGCTAGCAAGTCGAGAGCACCAACCGTTCTAGCTAGATCCTCTGCGCGCATCACATGTGCACGCTCTAGGATCATCTGCTGCCATCTTCCGCCGTCCCACCTTCAGGAGTGATCAACACATTCACCTCACGAGACAATACTACCATCGACGTCACCATGACACTAGACAGTGCCACCATAAAAGACCGTGTGTGGACGATAGATAGATTGCTCCGTCGTGCTTGGGCGAATTGTGGGTTGTGCCCACCATGTAAGCATGTCGAGGTGTTTGTTGTGCACCTCATTTATCAATGTTGATACACGCAACGGGTCTGTACGGAAATCACCACTTGGCTTTGGCTCCATCACATCATGCACTCGGATTCGAGTCTGGTGGCCTCGCTGAAGGAGTGGTGGATCGAGATGGCGAATTTCAGGGGCCAAAATAAAAAGGCCATCGCCTCCTTGATGATGCTTTTTTTTGACAAAGGGTGGATTTTATTATCTCAAAATGAAGCATCAAGAGGATACAAGCATAATGAGCACACACACCCGGCTTCTGCGTAGTTAGGCTGCACACCGCCAACATCAATACACGCACACAAAAACACGCTAGCAATAGTAAAGTCATATAAGACCAAAGCTATGCATAGGTGAGGAAAAAAATGATCTGGTCTGCAATTTGGAAAGAGTGGAATGCCAGAGTCTTCCGCAATCTCAACGCCCTGATGATGTTGGCTATAATGAAGATCAAGGAGGAGAAGCGTTTGAGCAGAACTAGAACCCCTCGTCGGGTGTGGATCTGCTCACCTTGCTTCAGGTCTAGAAGGGGTCTAATGCAAGGATAGCATGGCGTTGCGTAGGGGGCTGCTTTGGTCTATTTGGACGATACGTAACAAGATTACGATTGAGAAAAAATTCTCATACTCATCCTGCTGATGTTATTTTCAAATGTCATCTTTTCCTTACATACGTGGATACCGTTGGGGAGGCAGCGTGATGCTGAGCGCATGCTTGAGGTCATGGAGCGGATCAGAAGCACCCTGATGTTGGCTCGGCAAGATGCAACGCACGATTGAGCCTATTTTGGAGTAGCTTCTCGTTTCCGGAGGCTGGATGTATAGGACGTTTAGCTATGTGTTATGTTTAAGCCTTCATGCTTTTGGACCTAAGTATCTGTGATGTATCTTTTGGTCTGTGTTTGATTATGTACGCAATGAACCTTGTTGGAAATTTAAAGCTAGACGCTCCTAACGTCTTTGTTCCAAAAAAGAAATTCAAGGAGGAGGCCCGTTTGTGGGCTTTGGCGGGGCTACACACTTGAGTTTTTGTTATTCCGTGAGAGTAATTTTGTTCTTTCCAAATTTCCCACTGAAATTCGTGTGGTACCACTGAAATGACTAAAATATTTTGTACGGGAATGACTGAATTTTCGGTGAAATAAAGTTGCCTCCATAGGCCTGCTTCGGTAATAAAATCGATGTTATTAGAGCACATCTATAGCTCTTACAGCTCAGTTAATTGATTGATGAACTTCCAGCCAAGAACCACATGTATGCTGCATGATCG